TTTTTTTTTGTTATAAACTCTGAATCCATCAGAATTTCAGCATCCCCTCTTCCATAAAGATACCAACTATGTGCAATCTCTTGAGCAACTTCAAAGAACTTATTAGTATAATTATTCTGGTTTCTTTTAATGGTTCCAATAACTATTTTTAGCGGTTGCGTAGATTCAAGAATTGTTATCGCAGGACCATAAGTCGCTGGATGCTTTTCCTTTTTGTGCCACGAACAACCGCTACGAAACTATTGAATAAAACATGATAATTACAAATATTATAATTTTAACAAAAAGTATGGAAAATTTGAATGATATATTACCTGCCATTTATTATTATTTTGTCGAAAGTATCCATCCAATAGAAAATTATTGTAGTCAAATTTTTTCCCGTCAATTATAATTTTTCTTGCATTTAGACTTTCAGCATGAAATTTTAAATTATTTACAAATTTAAATTTACGAATGTTGGAGGTTTTGATATGCCATATTGATCTACCATGAGAAGATTTTTCAATATGTACATGAAGTTTACCTAATCTAAAATAAAATAAAATAAACAAAATTAAAATGATAAATTAAATTTATATATCAAATATTACTAATATTTTTATTTACCTGAATGGAATTTTTAATTGTTCAATCTGAATTCCACATTTACCACCAAAGCTTGCAGGGTTCAATAAGGTAATAGTAAATTTCGTAGGGCATAAAATACTTCTATTCAAATGTAAATGTTCATCCAAGAACTCTTGCATCACATCACCGCTCATAACATTATTAAACCAATGCCCTTGGCCAGGTATTTCAGAAAATCTACGTCGAAAAAACATATTAAGCAATATATCCTTAGAAGCCAATATAAATACATATATATAATATTAATTACCTGATTGCTTTTGGATCTCCAGAATGTTCATCAACAAGACGGACAAGCATACGAGAATGTATTGGCGGGACATTATCATCGTCCGAGCCGACTCTTGCTAATATTGGGATGTTAACCTATAAAAAAATATTGAATAAAAATATATTGACATGTATTGGCATACATTTTATTCTAATAGAATGCATTATATTATACTTGCCACATTTGTAGTGTGCAAATCGTTATTATATTCAGCAATTGAAGATTCAAGAATCTTTTTACGTAAAAAATTCAAAAGAATTTAAATATAAAATACAATTGAATAATTAATAATTTTGTTACTTACTCCTTTAAGAATGGGATCTATATGAGCATCGCTATTCCAATAATAAGGTACATAACTCTGAATTTTAGTATATGCGGCAGCCGGAGTTCCTGAACAAATAATTTAAAATAATAAATAAGCTATAATTTTATTAGAACTTGAAGATTATCAAAATATACCTGCTATCACTGAATCTGGAAAGTGAGTCATAAAAAACCATGCACCTTGTCCACCATTGGAATGACCTTTGATATAAAAATAGTGAATACTAAAGTAACTGTATAGAGAAAATATATGTATATACTGTAGAAATCAACTAACCAGAGATGAATAGCCTATTAGCATCTGGCAAGAAAAATTGTTTTAGAAGTTTTGGTACACCTGGCATAAATTTTTCCAATGTTGTTATTGTCTTTTGAATATTCTTTAAGCTAGGACCATGCCAATCATATCCCCATGGTGTTCTTCCGGTAGGAAAAAGAACCTTCATAATAATAAATAACCATGAACCACACGAGTTTAAATAGGCATTATAAATTTTCAGACTACAAAGTACGTACCCATGCGTTTTTTTGTCTTTTATAAGCATCTGTCCAAAATTCAGATTGAGTTTCGACACCAGCACCATGCAAAGCCACTAAAATGGGACACTTATGAGGATGACATGGTTCCAAAGGAGGAATTGCCATTGCTTAGTTTAGATATAGAAACATTATTGTAATTATCTTTACGATAACTTGTGAAAAGTTTGCTCATATTCATAAGTATTTATACCATATTGCACAGTGGTGTCAAAATCTTCGAATGTAAATTTATACACGCCATCGAAATTTTTGTTACTTATTGAAATTAGATCCGTGACTTTAGTCCAATAAATAATTCTTTTATCTGTTTGAGAAATAATTAGAAATTGTAATTGAAATGACAATGGCATCCCATTGGGTACTTGTGATTCAATATTTAAACATATTTTAATGTTCCGTTGTTGGGATGGAGCAATACGAATGCCGACTATCGAATCAACAACCGCTTTGCCACAGGTGAGTGATGCAGTCATCTATTAATATAACTTCAATTGTTAACAAGTAAATAAATCGATAGCTTAAGATTTAATGAAATAAATTGAAAGCATACATTAACGTTATTATTAATCACATTGACCTT